ACGTCGTCCCTAAGTACGATGGTTTATTAGATATGTCTGTTCACGGTTTCTCTATCACAGAACTGTGGTCTGTTTCACTTTTCATGATTAATATCTTCGCAAGTCTAAAACAGCGTTAATACGAATGGCGTCTAGTTACTTTATCATTAAAACTCATAGTCGGACGTTTACGTGTCTAAAATTTCTCCCTAATTATCGTCACATCTTCAGCTACGAATCCAGTCTTTGAACTTCAGAATTTTTACTGCACTGTTCTGAACTTAAATGAATCATAATGGAATTCACTAGACTACATGCACTCTGAGAAGTAATTACATTCATTTATCTGATATGTACAATCCCATTCACTATTGTTTTTTCAGTATTGCCATTATTCCCAGTGACAGCGTGGGCCATTACAATGAAATTTACAACAGAACAAGCGTGAGTGAGACAGTTACTTTTTTTTGCGGCATTACTACTATTTATAATATTCGTGGAAATGAAATTTCGGATATCCGTAAATTACTTCGAACCCCGTCGTCCATATAACTGTCATGTTGAAAAGAGTTATCGAATATCAACGGATTAAATGGAGCACAGTACATCCAGTGCTGGTGATTAAGTATTGTAGCATACCGGGTACATATGTCGTTGGTACTCGGTCAGTACGCTCGTTACAAATTACATTGTGAAACGTATTCTGCGTGCGTTAATTAGTTGCCTCTGCTCAGCAGAAATGTATCTAGTCGTTTAAATGTCTTGTATTACTTGTCAACGTATTGTGTATTTGCATATGTCAGCCCCATGAGACGGATGACAGGCATGCACGGGACATGATTTAACATGTATGTCTTCACATACATCAGTGATGTGACACGTCACCACTTTATTATTACAACACAAATACAATAATTGTTAATGCATAATGTGTATTGTTGTTACAGTTGTTGGTTTGGTTATGTGAAATCGCCGTATTATTGGATTGTTGAAATCCCGAGAAACCTTATTTTACTTGTAAGTGACATCATAACTAGTTTATGAGTGATAAACGTGAAATATTTCTCTATAACAGAGAAAATAATTGGTTCACATTGTTAGTGAACGTGCGCCCTCTTCCAGAAAGTGATATTTTGGAAGTCATGCATTTACCAGGATGTATGATCTTTTGGATGTCATGCAAATAACAATACCCCAATAATAGAGTGACAACTACGATCACTACAAGCAATATATGACACTGTTTCGTGATAGTCGGTGATAAAGCCGTTTTAGAAGTCCTATAGTAATCTTTCTGTTCAGAATCAGATTATTGCAATTAGATAATATTAATATAGTTATACGGTTCTATGATATCAATCATAATATACAGCAAATGAAAAATTGGGAGTTATCATTTAATATCATGTGTGGTCTATTCATAATCTCCATACATGTATTTCTTTTCACTATAAAATTAATAAATTATAGCAGTTTTATGTATATGCATATTTAAGTTATGAATATTGAACTGTACAGGCTTTCACAAATGTACATTTTGCAATGCATACATGTACAGTAACTGACAGAAATTTACTGTTTTCCTTTATCTAAGCTTTCAGAAAATATATACATTGTCGTAGTGACATGTACACGTACTGGAAGAGCGAAAGAGAGAGGCTTACTAAATAAATTAATCGTTAAGATATTCCATTTATTACAGATAAACTTAGGATTCCTGATAAACATAATACGAATACTTGTGACGAAGCTTCGAGAAAGCAACACAAGCGAAACGCAACAACTCAGGTAGGCATAGCTTAACGTGAATGTTAACTGTTCACTTCATGTCTTACCACTCACGATTCAGTAGCCCGTAGTTATTTGATATACGGTACTTCAAGGTGTTATACGCACTCAATCACAGTAAAACATCTCACTTGGTAATTGTTGCCGGGGGAGGTTTAATGATATCTATCCTCGAACTTAATAACTTGATAACTACAACGCCGTGAGTGGAGAGCGCCATGTTGAAATAGAGTGATAACACCCATCATTATGTTTCGAAGTGATAGCATCAACGGTATCGTTCCCGATCTTTTCAAATGCAGGATAATTATACTTTAGTGTAAAAAGAACACATATAGTGTTATTAATCATCCATATTTGCAATTTTTTTTAAATGTGTGTATTAACCGCTGATTACTAATTTATAGCGAAGTTTCGCATATCGCCAGAGCGATATTCTGCTCGTAAAACAATGCAACTAAAATGTGTGCAGACTATTGTCTTAATCAGCATTATGTTTCTGTTGGCAAAAATAATCTCCGAATTACGTTATCCCTGCGCTTCGACATCGCGTGCTCGCCACATTCTAAGGGTAAAATACGGATTTTAAATTGGCTGTTGAACCAAAAATAGACATCGTGCTAATAATCCGAGCAATAATGGGAAACGTTATTTCAATGAAATGCTACTTAAATCCAACACTCCAGGTGTCAATATTTCGAGTAGTGAATACTTGAATACGTGCACAGTATGGGAAAATAATAACAGCGAGATTTAGTCGAAGCCATAGGCCAAGACCGTCACTCAAAAAAAAGATAAAAAAAAAATAATGAATCGAAGCCGATGAAATGGTGAATTCTTGAATGATGTCAATGCTAGCCCCACATTTCAAAGGGATAACAGAGACTAAACAATATGAACTATTCAATTCCCACATTGCAAAGAGGTGAAAAAGGCTAAACAGTATTAACCTAACCGTAATTTAAATGAAATAAGACAATATTACAAAACAGAAAAATGAAAACAAATTTTTTGTCAAAGTTGCGTATCCATTTAAGTGCCAAACTCAGTGCACATGTATATATGTTAGGTTTTCATTGATTGGTATTTATATCGATGTTAGGATCGGTTGCAAATTGGGGGCATTCGTGTACAACACCTAATAACTCACTCCGTAAATTATTTTGATTTAGAATATATTCCATTATTCGAAACAGGGTTCGTGGTGTATTGTGGGTATTTAGGTTGAACTCGTACCATAGTTTGTTAATTAGTAATTTCTGTGGGCATACGGTCATTATTCAATCGCTACTCTATATAGATGTTCTAAAGTTATTCTTATATTGTCATCTGTCATACCATCTGACCATATATAGCATTATGTATTTTTTAAAAAAATACATGGTTAAGTTATTAAGTTCAAAAGTCCATAATATTACTTTAACCTTAAACAAATATGACACCGACGTTGGGATCTATATCTGACGATGAACACATTTATTAGTTGATCATTGGAATAGCGCGAAACAAATGAAAAGCACAATATCACAAATATAAAATATGTATTGATACAATGTTCTTGAGTTCACAAATAATTGTTTGATTTAATATCATATTTTCCCAGACAAAAATAGATCATGAATAATATGGGTATAAATTGATATTAGTGGATTCCACTGGTAAAAAACAAAACCCACAAACTTGTTGTTGCTTCTTTCTCGGGAAAATACGTAAACAGATTGTGATGTACACTGAAATTGACGTTACAACCTGCACCTCGGTGCACATCAATGATTCACGTCAAAAGCAATAGTAGATTTAAACAATTAAATATAATAACTGAGTTTTTACATCAACACGATAGAATAGTGACGTAAGCGTCGACCTTATATCACGGCACGGCGTGTTTTGTCGGCACATTTTACGGGTTGCCACTTCAAGAAATTATTTATTAAGTCTGACAATTCTGAGACGGTTCCCTGCTAGAGTTGTTAGATTAATTTTAAAGGAAGAAAATGTATTGCGTCGTTATATTGAGTTACATCCGAGTAAATAAATCATTTTAAATTCGGTCCCACTGTATGTAGTCCTTTTATTTATTGAGTGTAATCTCTCAAAGTCTTGCGCTAATCCATCAGCTTTGTATATCAGCAACACATAGGCTTACTGTAAGACACTGGCAAATATCCACCTCGGAATTAAGTGAGAAACAAATTTCCTCTATGTTATAAATAACATAACAAACCCTGTGTTGGAAGGCATGAATTAATAGCGTAACAAACCTTGCGTTGGAAGGCATGAATTAATAGCGTAACAAACCCTGTTTGGAGGCATGAACGAATATTGAAACAAACCCAGTGCTGGGAACCACGAATGAATGAATAACAAACACTGTGTTAATGAATGCACGAATGAATAAAATAAGAGTGTTTGAAAGATACTAATGAATAACATTACAAAATTTGTGTTTTGAAGACACGATTGAATGACGTAATAAACATTGTGTTGGAAAGACACGATTGAATAACGTACAAACCCGTGATTGAAGACACAAATCAATCACGTAATGTATGTATGTGCGTGTGTCTTTTCTACTGATATCTCAAGAACCAATTGTCAGATTTCGATGAAACTTGGTAAATAGATGCTCTGGGATAATGTTCAGTTTTGGGTTGGATTTGTTTGCATATTAATTACCTAATTTGCATATTGGTTAGCCAATTTCTCATGTACTATTCAAACGATGTCAGTGAAACTCTTGGATACTGCACAGACCTGATAATTTTTTTTATTGAAATCCTTGCATATTTTTGACCTAATTAGCATATTAATTAGCCGTTTGTTAGCATCTCCACTTGCTTCTGATGTACCATTCTACAGATTACAATGAAACTTCATACAAAAATGGTCCGAGATAATGCACAGACCTGGTTAGTTTTTGGTTGAAACCATGCGTATTATTGACCTAATTTGCATATTAATTAGCCAATTTTAAGCATTTTCACTTGTTTTTCAAGTACCATTTAAAAGATTCCAATGGAAAAAATGATGGTCTGGGACAATGCACAGACCTGATGTTTTCATTGAATTCTAGAATATTAATGACCTAATTTGCATAATAATTAGCCAGGTTTTAGCTCAGATGTCATTGAAATTTGGTACATGGTTGCTCTGGAATAAGGCATATACATGTTTAGTTCAGGGTTAAATTATGTACTTACTGAGTATCTAATTTGCATAAATTAACCAATTTTGTAGGTTTTCTACAGATATTTTGAGTACCACTCATCAAGTTTCAATAAAACTTAGTACATAGGTGGTGTTGGATGATCCACAGATCTGATTACTTAAGGGTAGAAATCCATGTATATTATTTACCCACCTAAATGGGATCATGTGACCTCATTATTATGCATAACTGTGAGGACAAGGATTGTCGTCTGTGGTCAAAATAAGACACTCTCCAATGATTTGTCATGCAATAAATAGTTCAAATTTGTACTTCATGCCTCCAATAACCTTAGCACACCGCAGTTCTTTCTAAGCTGAATATATTATTGAGTTTATGGTAATTTTATTCAATGAACCAAACCAACGTGTTTCTGTGCGTACCCCTGGTTTTCTCTGCGGTAATTATTACAGTCACTTTTGCTCTGTTTGTGATATAAAATTAGTGGAAGGCAATTATCTTAAACTTGTACATAGAGTGTTACGTTTTTCTCCATTTAACATTGTCTTTCTATTTGCTCTTACAAACTGACCACAGTGTAAATATATTTGTAATACAATACACAGTCCCTCTATCTCACCATGGTAGAGGGACTGTGTACAATATAACAACATTATGAGTATGAAATTGCTATGTAACAAGATGGTTTATACATTCACATGTCGTAGATTGGTACCATTTTTACATTCACAGAGAGGTTATATTGTACTGAATTCACTTACGGGACTTGAAACGCAAAGTCGGTCTATTAATATCAAAACAATGAAAAGGAAACTTTCCAGAGCAATCTCTCATAATAGATAAATATTTGGTAGTAGATTACCGGTATTATAAAAGTAGACGATATTTTGTTTGAAGAAATATTCTAAATTCGGTTCGTGTCCTCTAGTTAAGGTGGACAGTTCGATTTATGTATCAAATTTTTAGTCGTCAAAAAACAAAGTACTTTTCAATCAATACTTGCATATCCCTTTTTTTGTGTCTGATTAATATTATGCTAAATTATTTCCACAGAAAAGCTGTAAAGGCGGCCATATTATTAGCACCTTTACTGGGCGTCACCAACTTATTGTTTCTGCCAGATAATCCCAAATCTCACGAGAGCCGTGTCGTCATCGTATTGTATTTCTATGGGGTGATGATAGTGACCCCTTTCCAGGGCGTCATAGTTTCACTCCTGCATTGCTTTGTTAACGGGGAGGTAAGGTTTACTACTTTGGGGGTAAATTAATATCAGCAGCATTACTTACTTACTTACTTACTTATGTTTGCGTCAATTTCGGATATTTCAATTTCGACTTTATCAATAATGTTATATCGAAACGAGTTTAGGGCGTACTCGTATTATTATTTATATCATTTTACATAAGCTTTTCAATATTTAACTATATTAGGTTCGACTGTTGCTTCGTCGTAAATGGGCTGGATGGAAGAGTTCTCGCCAGCCGGGTGGTCGACTTCGACGTCAGTCCAACAGCACCACCACGGATGTAAGTAAGCAAACAAGTTTAATGCGAAGAATACAAAACAAATTCAGCGTTAGAAGAGCAACCGCGCCGTCTCCATATTCTGATTTCTCGCAAATCGAGACACATGCAGACTGTGAACACATGACATTGAATAGTATCGCAGAAACAAAACCGTTATCAAATACCAAAGTAATGTCGAACGGTGTCGTTATTGAACTTGCCACGAATGTATAGTCTACAAATGAAAAGTATTTTTTCCGTATTGCATATTGGGAGAAGCTAATCAATAATCTCAATAAGGCATATATGGGTGAATCAAGAGATCTATAACTTACGTTTAAAGTTTTAACTTCATGCATTCACTTCTCAGCATTTTCTTCTCAAGATATGAAGCTTTATCGTGACGTTAACAATGGTTGTTCTGCAATCGATGTGTTCTCGTTTATTTACATATTTGAACATTTATATTTACTCAGGGTTTTTTAAGTCGTCTTCCAGGAGTTGAACAAATCATAACACCCCATGCTATGTGTCTTAATAATCTGGTAATATTTGTATGTTTTTTAATATATGAAGGACATTTCGTAAATTTGTTCCCATAATGCTCAGATATTGCGCGGTTTGCATAAAAATCACTTTTTGAGAATGGTTTCAGAAGATTGCATGACTCCTAACCTAACTTCTGTGTCTATGTAGGTTTATCGCCTCAACTCCATATATAGTACAACGGAAACCATTAGGATGTCATTCGTTAAACATTCAACACAGTTACCGCAACAACCAAGTAGTCCCGTACTAGCTTCGCCGTCTTTGAGTGCAAACTCGCCTTCGCCTTCTCCTCCACCGTCTCCAGGTGGCATTGCCGGAGGCCCTGACCCCGCTAGCGCTGAGGACGTGTCCACAAGCCTATTATGACAATGGCCTTGGCTCAAATTTACTGAAGCTATAGGTACTGTTTTAGAGGCGAGTTCGGGTTTAAGGTGTGTTCAGTGGGAAAACAAACATTGCACTCGCAATCGCTCTTTTTTCATAAATCTTTTTTTGGGCAAAATGTAACTTGCAATTATGTTTTTGCATGATTGAGTAAATATTTCGGACTAAGCTTTAAATGCACATAATTAAAATAACCCTCCAATATTACATTGTATCTTGTATTAAAAACTCCGGCATTCTGATAATGAATAAGCAAGTATATGTGCAAGTATATTAATGCGTTCGCTGGCGTTACCACGTCACAGTCAACTTGCCTATCATCTATCATCTGCTACAATTTGCACATTTCATCTATTGTCATTAACATATAACGTATTTTGCTAATTAACTAACCAATCACGCTTCTCTTTACTAACAATGAATCGCTATAGCTTTACTAACCTTCTTTCGCTTTTCTATTTTTTTTACTTTCCTGCTTTTCTCTCTTTCATCATTCAGCCTCGGACAATGACTCTGGTCAGCATGACGTCAAGCGATGTAGCAACGGAACCTGCAAGCACAACAAAGTACCACTACAGCGCCGTCTGTTAGGCTTCGTGGCTGTGTGATGGCGTACTCCATCCACACATTCATTCTATATTTCACCAAGCATGCGTTAGTCAAACCCCCGTTCGCTCATCGTTAGAAACTTCAGAAGAATTTTCAATACCGGGATTTTGAGGAAAATGTTTCTCTTTCTAGGAAAGGAATTTTTAACCCATTATACAACAGAAGACATGTGCTCATGTTAATTGAATAAAACATACAGCAGTAGGGACTAGTAGTCAATTTCAATAGTACAGTTTAGCACTCACAACCACCGCGTTCGACTTAAGGGCATATTATGTGTGTCTCACTACCTAATACCTTACAGCCTTTCAATGATGTGTGAATTGTTATAAATATTTGGACTGTCTCTTTTCATATTTAAGTGACGCTGAGACGAAAATTGGGACCTTGAATCGGCAAATTTTATTATCACAATCTATACAGAGAGTGTGTTGTTGCGTTGATATTGTACATATATACTATTTTGGAAAATATTTGTAAATTTATTCCGATTTAATAAGACAGGGCATTTGACACGTCGTTTTTAGACGATCTAACGTCACTTCAGAATATTGTTTCAGAGATAGCTAATGAATAAACATGTAAATATTTGAATGCTTGGCAATTAGCAGGGAGGAAGATATTTTTTAACTTGATGACACTACAAGCCTTGGTTTATATGTACATTTTTGCATGGCTGCCGTATACATTCAATTGTTGCTTTAATCATTGTTTTAATTAATATTAATTATTTAAAAAATGACGCTTTATTAGTTTCAGAACTAACGGCGGAACCAACTGCCAAAAAACATTGTATATGTATAAAATGAGAAGAACTTATTTGTATAATTGATGAAAAAAGTAAACTTAAAGCACAATTATGCAGTGTGTCTCTATGTACTTAATTTGATTATCACAACTGAACGTTTTAAATAGTATTTCATATTTGTTGAGTTTACTTGTTCTTTATTTTCTTCTTTTAGTTGTGTATGCCAGAATGTAACAAAAAGATAACAATTGAAACTACATTTAAATGATGAGCATACAATTGCATCGCACACCTTTACTTTGTTAATCATTCGCGTACACTACTATGTAGATTGTGTGTGATGTGCTCATGTGACACATATAAGCACTGATAATATGACCATATATGGAATATTCTTCAGTCCAATTCGAGTGACTGCATGTCCCCTGACTTTTCTGACTGAATAATCGACGTACACCTTCTCCCGTGCCAGCCAGTTTATAATACAATTGTATACAGCCGACTGCTTGTTATAGACTTTTGTGTATTTTGCCTATTCAATATATATATATATATATATCATGATAAGTTGTGAAACTATGGTAATGTATTCAAGCAACCATGCTATTCTTGGTGTATTCACGTCTATACATATTGTTCTTTGGAAATAAAACAATAAACTATTCATTGTGTGTGTTTTCCTGTCTGAAACAATGGGAAGATCCTCAAAGTTGAACTTAACCATTGGAGTAACGCCAGGTGCCAAATACCAGCCGTTAACCTGTAACTAGCACCAAAAACATACTACAGCAATAATTCCTTATTCACACAGCTTTCACTATCAATGCCTTGGGTCGGGGGTTTAGGGTTGAAAAGAAGTGCGGATAGGGAATGTTTTGTATCATTTTTAATCAAATAACGAAATAAAACACCATGTGTGTCGCTCATACCCAAAATCAGTTAAAGCATGTCTGAGAGAAAATAAAACAATCATGGCCGCCAGTCAGCCAGTGAATCAAATCACGATGTGCACCAGTAACTCGTCATGTGTGATGTTTGAATAAAATTGGCCCAGGCATGCCTGAGTAATCGTTTATGACATTTTTTAGAGTATTTTGGTCGCAAAAAATCCATAGTCTGTTATAGGTTATCAACAAATCAATGTGCTAATGTATAAATCAAGTCATGTGAATTATTTTACATACAATTCAAATGGAATATGTTATAAAAGTACTCAGACATGTGTTATGCAATGCGTGAATCGGTAAACGTGTGCGTCATACAATGATAGAGAATGAATGAAATAGCTAGCCTAAAAGCCAATGGTAGTTATCGAGTTTCAAATAGCTCAATGCGTTGTGTGTATGTCACATCGGTCTGTGTGTGAGCTCCGAGTTCGAACTCCTACTTTGTGTTTTTTCTTAGCACAGTAGAACAGGTCAGTGTCACTTGTTTGATGTCATGTGAACTGTATAGACGGCTAAAACAACCTCTGAGAACAAAAGCGCATTTTATGAGAAAAAACAGTTTTGATTGGACTAAACCAGTCAGACTCGAAAAGAGGACAATAGAAATAAATGATGATATTTGGTGTGCTTTTTTGAGAGAGGGATGATCATTTTGAATCAAATTACAAAACAAAGTGTCATACACTAGTAACCCATCATGAATGTTGTCAATGCTAGATCGGTACAGGCATATCTGAGAAACTGTTGATGGCATGCTCAAATGTTGATTTTTGTTGTGTGTGTTTTTTTTTTAATAAATGGTCGTCAGCCGGCCACGCGTCATTAACCCACAATGAGAGGCACTCATGCCAAGTTTAAATGAAACATAGGTGCTCTTTTAGGACTTCGTCTAATGGGAACTTACAATTATCGTCTTTATTTGCAACCTTAAGTTCAAAACCTGGATTTACGTCCTTCCACCTGACTCAATTTTAAAACATACTCTGGTCGATGTCATTGGGACCTTATACATGTATATGGAGACTTTATTGGAGATAGCTGACTCGGTCCATCTAGTGGTAAAAATCCAATCTAGTGTGTATGCAGTTCCAGAACTAGGTCTTTGGGAATGGATGTTTCAATCTGTTTCGCTCATTCGAAAAAATGTAGAGTCTGAAATTAAACTCTACAGACCCCTTAAGCATCAATAATGAAAGCTGCTTTCATTAGTGTTTATTTTTCTGAAAGATTAACCAAAAAAGATTTCAAGCAATAACGGCAAGGTAATGTTCAGATAATGGAATTCAAGGCATGACAGTGCCTTTGGGGTGAAACAAACCAGTACAGACAGATTTCTATAAAAAAAAAGATAAGGTGCATTCCATCGTGGTAATTGCGTGAAGATAAAACAAATGCTGTCTGAAATGTAATGAGTACATATCTAAACAAAACGGATGAAAGGTCAAGAATCACAAAACCGTACATTGGTTGTCATAGTAACACAAATAATCGCCTGTATTATTTTCAATAACCAATATGTCAAATCGATATCATACTAATCCCTGGAGTAAAATTACAATTTACCATGTCATGCCCTCAAGCTATGGACATTGTTGTGACGTACATGTGACGCGGTTAATAGTCGATAGTGTGTTGGTCTGTGGTCGTCAGTCATAAAGGGTTGAACCACTGACATTACTTACATCTACTACGCACATCGTCGCTGGAGGGCGCAAACTGTAAAGACAGACAACACACAATGGAAAAATCATATGCACAATCTGAGACTTACAAACGTGATCGTAAGTAGAAAATGCACAATCTGAGACTTAAAAAAGGGATGGGGTCTTGATCACATATCACAGAAAAATAAAATTTGGTTTTCAGAAATCATGCATAATTAATCAGGGAATCACAAGAAATCAGTTATTACGTGACAATTTTATTATTTAAGGTAGAGATGCAGTTCACCTGACAGGTATTTTAATTAGTTAATTAGGAAACCAAGATGACCTCCATTGTCTACAAAACTATATATTTTCGGAAAGCTTATTGTATGAATTTTATCCCAAATTTCACTACTTCAAGTTTATGCATATATTAACACCCCGGCTAGTTGTCTGTACGATTGTTGTAACACTGTTCAACCGAAAACAATGCCCAGACGGCGTTTTGAAGATCAACAGATTGTCAATGATTTGTGAATCATTTTCAAAACAAAAGGTCAAAGCGTCTAGGAGCTTTTTTTTTTTTTTAGAGTTCTGGGATGTGCACTAGAAAGAAGCTGAGATAATTGCTAATTTGCATAACAATTCACTCAGTAAGAATTTTGCTAATGCTCATAATTAAAATGGCTGTAACAGTTTCAAATATAAATGTATTATCGTTTTGTGAAAAGTTAAATATAGTGCATAATATGGAAATCCCGTCATTTCTTTTTTTCACCATGTTTCTTTTTTATTATTTATGTACAGCCTTGCCAAATCTTGCTAAGCATTCAAAAGAGAGAATGTTTGCACCTGTCATCTATATTTCAAAATCGTTTTTTGAGTACATTCCACTATTCTACAAAATTTTAACAGTCTATAGCCAAGACTGTTTGGATAATAAAAAGCCAAAAAAAAAAATTTCATTCCCAAGTGCCCACGAACCTGCATCTCTACCTTAAGTCGCACAGTACGTCATTGTAAGTACCCAAGACGTAACATGGAAGATGAAACTGCTTTAAAATGATTTTAAAACATTGAATTATCTGATTATAGCATCCTTCTGAGCCATATAATATAAACCGAAAGTTCACACTGATAAACCTATGTTTTTTGATTTGCTAATATATAGTCAAACCTGTCTATAATTGTCACCCAAGGGATTGGGTCAAAGTGACCACTATAGGGGAAGTGGCCTTTCTGTGAAGGTTGGGAAGATTTCAAGTCAAGAGGTATATATGAATAGGGGACATATGTCAAATTTCACTTTACAGATGAAATATATTTTATTTCCAGGTGACCGGTATGAAAGGTTCGACTGTATAGATAAACCATGTAAAACCAGTTGTCTACCGGTCACTTAGAAATAGATTGTTGTTCAAATAACCACTGTGTCCATCGATTTCTGTTATGCATTACACTTATTCAATCGTAAAAATAGTTTCTAAGCATTGTAAGCTAATTTAGTCTTTTTTGTTTACAAACTTTCATAATTACTACTGCTAATGCTTACTTAAGTTCAATTAATTTTAATCAATATCTTTAATGGACAGGATAATGAGTTTATTTTCGGAAATCACTTACAAACAGACTGTAGTTCTTTTATAAGGTGAATGACTCATTTGATTGTAGGTACTACTACAGTCTATCAGGAATAGCAAATAGAATAATTACGTACGCATGAAGTGTTTGGTTCAAGTTTCAAGCCTTTTCTCACCACGATTCCGTTTAAAGCATAGTGTATACTTATTATTTAAAGTGAAATGTTGGGAATTACTACCAGTATAGTGTTGCACTAGTGAGGTATGCCCAACAGTAGACTAATATACCATTACATGCAAGTTTGAAAACTAAACTGATGGTCACAAATGTATCTAAATTGTTTTACAATTTTGACATATTTGACATTGTTGAAATTTTTTTTTGGCATTTTAAAACCAGACTGACTGAGAATGTTTGCACTTCAGGCACCCTTGGCATCTTTGAGATACTCATTTAAAATTAAAATATACATGCAATTTTTATAAATGTGCAAAGTCCTACCAACTCATACCAGAGTTATAACAATTCTGAATCATAATCTGTTGAATATTTTATATATAAATTACATTAATATTAACTTTTTGTTATTGTGATTCATCATTAATTGTGTCCTAATTGCCTTATGTGGTCCATTAATCATATAATGATAATTAGTATTTCAAATAACACTGAATTGAAACCTCACATATTTGTATGCCATTATCTTACTTGCCTACTCTGCATATTAAAAAATAAACATAAAAATAGATCATCTGTGCAAATGTACTGATAACATGACATACAAGTACGCAAGGTTTGAGAAAACGCTCTTGGTGTTTTGGGGGCTGGCGTAAAGTGATGCCCAGATACACCAACCTCAATAATTTGTTGAGGACAGAAAATGATTGAACATTGTAAACTATGATTTTTAAATTCATATTTTTTTATTTGCATATTATCTGTCATTTATGTTTCAAATTTGTTTTATTTTCATTACTGGAATGATTAGCAGTGCTCAGTGGTGACCATAAAATATGACAACAAATCAGTCTGACAGGACTGTGTAGCATAAAAATCACAGCTTTAACATAACTACCTTTATCAATTTAAAGTCGTTTTGTAATTCATGATTTGCAGGAACACTCTTTCAAACAAAGTTTAAACAAAATAAGTTCTGAATGGTTTTGTGATTTAATTAGTCAATGTTGGCAAGTTGAAACACCATGATTGCAGTTACTAGTTTTAAAAATTTGGTTGATGATCTGATAACAGCAGAGGCAGTCACCAGTGTCTTGTTAATAATATACAGTTTCAAGTATAATTGGAAGTTAATGTTTTGCATGCTGTATAGCTACACCAAAAATAAGCCAACTACATTTGTACATCCCTATGTTGATAACAAAAAAATTATACTCTCAAAAACTTAACAGATAAAAAAAGGGGGGCTACACAGCTAGTCACCTTGTTTATTAGTCACTTCAATTATTTACCCTATTCATTCATGGCTGGTCAACTGATGACTCACCACTAGTTTTGCAATGTGGAGCGCGGAATATCCTGCTTGACGGGCACAAAGAATTTGGATGCAAGACTAGATAGAACATTAAACCACACCTGGTAAGACAGTGTTCTCCCCAAAACGCCACGCCCATGTTTTTTGAAACCACGCAGAAATTGTAACTAAATGTTCAATTGACAGTTAACAGATGTGGCGTTGTGTTGCAATAATAACGGTAATATTGTTGCGGCATTACAAAAGCGCACAGCAACTAAGATAATGCGGGACATCTGACAACCCCATCGTTCAATATGACCGAAAGTTCAATAATCCTTGGGGGAGGACGAAGGTGCAATAAACTTCAAAGTAAGACCAGACAGCTCGGATCTTTGTGATAAAGGAATAGATTGATCGACATAGACACTTCAGGTTCACATCATGCAATGCAGAAAGATGCCCTGAAGCTGGCACTTTCACTCAAGTGATTTGAATCTGGGGTTGCCAGGTGATGTAGCAATAATGTGACTGAGTCCACTCTAATATGTCACAATTACACTGTTACGTCACCAATTCCAAGATGCCCTGAAGCTGGCACTATCACTCACAAGTGATTTGAATCTGGGGTTGACAGATGATGTAGCAATAATGTGACCGAGTCCACTCTAATATGTCACAATTACACTGTTACGTCACCAATTCCAAGATGCCCTGAAGCTGGCACTTTCACTCAAGTGATTTGAATCTGGGGTTGCCAGGTGATGTAGCAATAATGTGACTGATTCCACTCTAATATGTCACAATTACACTGTTACGTCACCAATTCCAAGATGCCCTGAAGCTGGCACTTTCACTCAAGTGATTTGAATCTGGGGTTGCCAGGTGATGTAGCAATAATGTGACTGAGTCCACTCTAATATGTCACAATTACACTGTTACGTCACCAATTCCAAGATGCCCTGAAGCTGGCACTATCACTCACAAGTGATTTGAATCTGGGGTTGACAGATGATGTAGCAATAATGTGACCGAGTCCACTCTAATATGTCACAATTACACTGTTACTTCACCAATTCCAAGATGCCCTGAGGCTGGCACTATCACTCAAGTGATTTGAATCTGGGGTTGCCAGGTGATATAGCAATAATGTGACTGAGTCCACTCTAATATGTCACAATTACACCAATTCCAAAGAACATGAATGAATAGGCATAGAATAATCAACTTTCAGGTGAGCAATCTGATTAAAATCTGGAGTAGTGTAATTAATTAAAGCCCGTACACTACATCAGATTTTAATCAGATTGGGGTAAGAGAAGACATGCAGAAGTTCCACTCCTGAATCCAATGGGAGTAAACTGCTTTTATGACTTGGCTAGAAGCGCCTCGTATGACTTTCCATTAGGTCTCCCTTTGTTTAACCACAGGCACCTTCTTTATAATAGACTTGCTATGGAGTTGGCGGTGAAGTCGAGTAGCAGTCGAACAGTCAGAATTATAATCAGACAATACACAATACTGCTTTGATGGTGATAAATCAGGCATTGCATGTTCTTAAAGATGCCTAGGAACAGGGGCATGACGGCGGGTAAGTTTTTCCTCAGCCGAGCTCTGCAACGACAATCGTCATCCAGCTTCCTTATGTCTTTGTGTCGGAATCTTAATTAATTGACACAAACAGCCAAAATAATGATTTTTATTTATTTTATCTTTTTGGCAATATCTTTATTTTGATTTCCCTTATGAGATTATATACACGAGAAATACACCCAATGACAATTTCTCAAGTTATAGATGAAATCATTTTCTTGATTTTTCACAAAAGTAGCTATGATATATTTTACCCACAATCATTTGCTGAAGAATCAAGATTAAATGTGGACTACATAATACTGATGAAAAATTGAATATATAAAGAATGAAAAGTGCTATAAAAAAGCAGCAAATGGCATTCTCCTACATTTGTGGAGCCTTTTCATCTGGAAGCAGTATTTTATTTGCCTGGTCTTCTCTTATAAACAAACAGTGGTGGTAATTGGTGTGATGCCATAAACTACACTTTACTACAATTTAATCTGGGAAAAGCATTTTCTTAAATTATTATTAAAAAGAAATGCTGCCAGGATGCAAACATAAGGGACTTACACATGGATGTGTTAGTGGTTAACATCATCCAGGGGGATATGATCACAAACTCTTGTATTTATCAGCGGCTTCTACTAGCAATTTTGCTGTGTCTATTTCTCTTGAAGCATGGCCAGCATTAGGTACTATATGAAACTCAGCTTCAGGCCAATTCTGCAGCAATAGAACACATATGTATCAAGACAAATAGCATTGTACAATGGTTTACAGTCTACTTTATCTACTATAGATATAGATGATTTAGGCAGATTATAAGTTAGGAAATGCAAGTGAAAACACATGTCAAAATAGTTGGTGTGAATTGATATATGTAGCTATGAGAATTGTGCTCTAGTTTACGACAATGTCTTATGGGGAACGCATAACAGAGAAGACAGTTTCAAAGAGTGTTAGTAACAATGGAGACACCTAGACTTACTAAGATGGGTTATGATTAGGAGCATTGGACATGGGGTGAAACAAAGTATTACTGTGGAATACTTTATTTTCGCTGGAATTAATTTTCGCTGAAAAGGCTTTTTGGGCATTCTTTATGGAATTTATTCTCACTGATTTTTGATGAGTTGAATGTGAAATTTAGGAAAAAAAGTATATTCGCTGGATTTTATTTTCACGGAATCATCCCTTCAGCGAAAATAGCGAAAATAAATTCCAAGCGAAAATAAAGTATTCTACAGTATAATGTTTTAAGTGAGGGAATTTGCAAAAGAACGTCAACTTCTGCTCATGTTCTTTTAAAAATAAATTGATTGAGACATGAAAGCAAGGTTAATGTCAATTTTTTCTCATTGACAAATTAAATTGAGTCATAAAAAAAATCTGAAAAATGTTGTACCAAAATATTAAACTGGTGATATTCTATGTTATAATTTTTGTTTTTTAAGGCGAGTATGAAGATTTATTTGCATATGCTCACAGCAATCTTCAGTTAACAGTGAAAATTATGCTAAGGAATGTGTATGAAACCAATAAAAATACAGAGCATACTAATTACGTGACTTTTTCTCCCAGGTGATCTTAACAAAATATCACAATTTAGGCAATCATGAATGAAAATAGAGACAGCTTATTGAAAAATCCTGGACAGCTGTTTCATCAGTAATGATGCTCGTGCAATTTTTTTTCTCATTCATTTTGGCAATTCCTGGAGGCTTTCAGCAGGCAATAAGTTAATATGTAGACAGACAAAGAACACTTAATTCTAGATCCAAAAGCCCCAGTGAGGGTTGACAAGCAAAAAAGAAGCCACTCATCAGACAGAAATCTGCTACACCTAGTGATAAGGATGCATGAATAATAACATGCACTGAGGACAGGAACACCATACAAACATTTTGTAATATTTCTTTTTGGGGAATCCCACACGTCCTCCCGATGTGAGGTGAAACGCTAACTTCTGTACAAGCCCAGGTACATTATTAATAGGACTGATGATGGATCAAGTTGTCTATCAAGGTTTTCATCCAAAAAAAAACCCTCAAATTAAAATTTATGATTGAAACCAACCAAATGTTGCATTGTCTTACCTTATGTAACTGCCATGCAGTCCTAGCAGGGCATACAACATCATATCGGCCTTGTACAATGGTTGCTGGTATATGCCGTATTTTCTCGACTTCTTTGATCAGTTGGTCATCATATTTAAACCATCCACCATGAATAAAATAGTGACTAGAAAAGCAACACAGAAATGTGGAGGAGCCAAGAGAATATACAATATTGCATGTATATTGCGCCAATCTGTGGAAATCTGCTACTTCCATTTAAGAGTTAAGTACTAGTAAGTTGCAGTGAGGACAGGAGAGCAGTCAACACTACTGACATCTTTGTCAACGAAATCAGACAGGATGTATTCTTGCATCCATTATTATAGTATATACTTAAAAAAAAAAGATTCTACTTGGATTAAAACATGGAGCTAAAAAAATTTTTAGCTCCATGATTAAAACTACATGAATTCACTATATACACTGGCAGTTATTACTATTCATATTTCCATTTATTTGAGTTTTCCACTTACCACTCAATTCTAGCAAACTGCAATGCCCATGAACACACAGCTGCTCTTGCTATGTTTTCCTGATCCACAACAAGTTTAGACGTGGCACACTCCCATGCACTCCATGACTTAGCACAAATTTGTTTCACTTTCTCATCATCCCCAGTCAGCCTTTTATAATAAGCGCTTAACAAATCATGTCTTTCTGCCTGTTGGTCAAATTATTTTTGACAGGTCAAATGCATTTGCATTCTAATTAGCCTTGTAATTTACTTTGCGCGTGTGCAGTGGTGCTCAACTTGACATCCAGTCAGTTGGTCACTGAGATTTGCGGCGTGAGCATCGCTTTGAAACCACTGAGGGACGACAACCCGTGCAGTATTTCCCATCTACTTCCCACGTTTATGAATTCACTTTCGGTGAGATGATAGCTAATATTTGAAATGTATTTTGTAGCAAATTTAGTGTAAACATTGTATATTTCGTTAACTTGTAAAACACGAGTAGGAGCATGTACGCCACGTGTACTCATTGTTTGCAGGGAACAACATTGAAAGCCCATTTCACCTGTTCATTGTGGTAATTAGTTATTCGGGATACATAAACTTATTATGAATTGTTCATTTTTATTATTGTATTTGCATACAATTTATGTAATATTTATGTAATATTTGTGTATACATTTGTGGAATTGTAGTTTTTCTAAATGAGAACTGGTCCGAGTTTGTGGCACTGTTTAAATGTGCGAATTGTTATGATTCAAGTTTAGCAGTTATCACGACTTGTTTATTTGTTCTAAATTATTGTAGGTGTGTTTGCGTGTAAAAAGAAACTATGTAATTATATAGGGCATCATTGAATTGTACTGGTTGGGGTGAGTTTATATACGCTACTCTAGTGCAATATTATTTCTGTGACTCGCATTAGATGTTATTTATTTATATTCAAAGGAAGGAAGTCTCTATGCGTCGACTTGAGTCTATTGAGAGGCATGATTCAGTTTATTGTGTAGTTTGTACATTCAGTACTTACATAGTAGCTAAACTATTCTATTTTGATATCATGGTTTCTACTTGGAATTATGATCTCCATACCTCCAATGACATTGTATTAATCTTGAATATTTATTGTATTTATGTAGGTTTCTGTCGTGTTAACTTTCATAGTTGCTCATAATGGAAATTAAAAGAACGCATGGTGACTTCACATCTGCCTGGTGTCATTTTTTCTGCGTTACATATTAATAAAAATCACGTCCCGTAAATGATAAGTCACTGTCCCGTTTTACTGACTGTTAACATTAGTGTCGAACAATTATTTATACTCAGGGGACAGACATGAAACAATGTGGAGCTAGTTATACATGTATGTGCCATTCCTTTATTTATTCTGCCCATGACAGTTGAAATGCATTTCTGAGATACAGGTGTGATTAGTCAAAGCATGTCTAAGAAATGACCTCATGTTTTGCATCTATTGAGGTCAGAATTACAAAATCTGCATAACAAAACAATGAATCACAATTTTACGTATGTACGAACAAAAAAATTAAAATGAACAATGTTTCATTCCCATTGATTAAGTAAAGAATTACAAACAATCAATACCCAGTGTGATTGATAAGCTTCTCAGATATGAAGGATAATCTCAGAAATAATTATGTTATTAGAAGTAATAAACTAGGGATCAAAGTTTATACAGCATTATGAATCAGAGTACCGGTAGATAGTAACTGTATTTATTATGTAATAGTTACCTCTGGTATTTGGTTAATAAATACTTCCCAATAATCTGGAAATAAATGACTAGCACCATCTTGATAAAACCATAAAACTTCTTTTCTGTGAATAAAAAAATTATAATACATTCTATAAAAAAAGATGTTGGTATTGTGCACCTAGTTATGAACACAATACAGTTGAACTGTGAACACATAGATACAACATGTATAAACATAGGCAGTCTAGTGTAACCAGTGACTGTCCTTTTGTCACTGCTTTGGTCATAATATTATATTAATAACAGTCTTAAGGTTATCAAGAATTAAAACTGACACACAGAAAATTGTTGTTCGAGTTAACTTTGTATTGTGTGTGACTAAATTGCAACAAGAAATAATATATGGTCTAGAATTGAACATGAATGAAATTAAACCCTGGTACACAAAATATTTATTTATTTAATCACTTAATGATAAAGGATACAATGCACACACAAACAAATTAAAAGTGACATGACAAAGCAGATAAGTATACACAAAGAAGAAAAAAATCAAAATGAGAAGGAAGGTCATTAAGTACATCAATGCTAAGGTGTTGCTGTCTAGATTCAAAACAGATTCGTAAATATTGGCTTAAATGAATTGACAAGAGATTTATTACTAAAGATAAATCGGAACTTGTCGTCATTGCTTATTTTATTGAAATTTGGGGATATTTTTGTTGCTTCCAAAAATTAGGCATAAACAGGGCAAGACATCACAAAATGTTGTTCATCTTCCATCTGATTTGTGTTACAGAGAAGACATACACTTTCATTTTCTGGCAACTGAATACGTCACCCTGTTTCAATTCTCAGTAAATTGCAATAAAAAAAACAGGCAACATACAAAGTAGAAATGTACTTGAAAGTATGTAAAACAATCAAGGTGAACTTGGGGTTTGTACAGTAAAATCTGTATTAGAAGCCGCATTCCTAATAGAAGTCGCACTCATTCTTTTTGAACAATTGGGACCCAAAAATTCACCATTACCGGTACTCATATGTGTAGATGCTCTAATAGAAGCCGCATCCCCTCTGTTGTATTGTACCATTTTAACAGAAGCCATGGCTTTTAATACAGATTTTACAGTACTCTTGTTTTGGGGAGAGGGAGAGGTGGATTCAGCACTCATTATAAATGACTTGGGAACGACAACCCTTCAGACTGTGCATAGCATGATATGAAATAATTTATATGTATTCTACCTTCTAAGTGTGAATATTCCCCTGAGAATCAGTGCCTTAACATTATCTGGATGAGTTTGAGCATATGCCAAAGCTAGAGTGGATCCCCAGCTACCACCGAATACAACCCATTTACCAATATCTAAATGTTTACGAATCTTTTCAATGTCAGCCACCAGATGCCATGTTGTGTTGTCCTATGTAAAACACAGTTAGTCAAGCATAAAGCAATCAAAGATTTTGTTTGCAGTTTGAGCATGTTACTACACATATATGCAATGCATTATGGGGGAGAACTTTCCATTGTTTATATAATGGAAAACTATTATCACCCTGGAAACTCTGGATTTGTAGTTCAATTTTTTGTAAATGTTTTCACAATATTAGTATTTTCATCCCATGTCAAACAAAATAACACCACAATAGAAACCAGTGTACTTGTGTACTTACTCAAAACACACAAACTCATTTCC